AAGTCAATTTGCAAAAGGCTAGCTTGTCAAATTTAGTTGTGTCTTTTACCTCTTCAATTTTGTAGACAAGTCTTTATTTTGTCATTATAGTTACAGTTTAAGAAATACCCACTTTTTCTCTATTTCACCTCCTGACTACACATCTGTAAATTAAGAGACAGAGAGGAGGAGGCAGAATGCGACAGAAACTGAGAGATATTCAAAATTTCTTTTCACCAACTCATTATGTGAATAGTATAAAATAATCATGTCACTCAATTGCAGGAGTTACATTTATAGTTGTCTATTCTGAAGGGTCAGCAATCAGTGGATGAGTCAATGTCATCTCTAATTGCATAATAAGTTCAAACACACACACTCACACACTCACACACACACACATATGCAACCATTACCTGTAGCTCTGATCTAAAATATAACATATTAAAATTTTAGGCTCAAAGAATATTCTGACCCTCAGATCAGAAGAAACACTTGTAAATCACACATAAGGCAAACATGTCCGACATACATAAAAAATTATTACTGCAATAAACAGTGACCTAATTTTAAAATGCATAAAAATTTGAATTAACACTTCTCCAAGGAAGATGTTCAAATAGGTTTTGAACAATTAAAAGATGATCAGCACTATTAGTCATTTAAAAAGTGTAAATCAAAACCATTACAAAGGGTCTGGGGTTAGCTCAGTAGTAGAGTGTTGGCTTAGCATGTTTATACACCAGTTTGATCTCTAGCACAGACAAGCAAGCAAACAGTACAGTGAAATTGTCACTTCACATTTATGAGAATGGCTAAAATAAAAAAAAGAAAGCAACAAGTGTTCAAAAAGGCATGGAGAAATTCAAACTTTTATACACTGCTGGTGAGATTGTAAAATGGTGCATACACTTCATAAAATGGTTTAGCAGTACCCTGAAATGTTAAGCAGCTATCATATCACCCAGGACTTTTATTTCTAGGTATATACCCCAAAGATACAAAATTATATAGTCACTCAGAAACTTGTATGCAAATATTCATAGAATCATTTCTCATAATAAGCAAAAAGTGGAAACAAATGTCCGTCAATAGAGGTGTCCATAAAAAATGTAGTATGGCCACACAAATAAATATCATTTGTCAGTTACAAGAAATGAAAGACTGATATATGCCATGTATCAGTGATTGAAAGTATTGCCTTATGGTGAAAAAGCCAGTCATAAGAAACAACATATTGCATGATTACATTTAAAAGAAAGATCTCTAGTAGGTAAGTCTGTAGAGCTAGTAAGTAGATTATTGCCTTCCAGTGGTTGCAAGAGAAAGATATAAGTAATGACTGCTAACTGGTATGAAGTTTCCTTTTGAAATAATAAAAATATCCTAAATTAACTACTAGTGATGATTGACCATCTCTGTGACTGCACTAAACACACTGAGTTTTATATTTTAGAGAGATGAGCTGTATGGTATGGATTCAATCAAAGAAACATGAAGATGTTTACCTGTCAGTTATCAGTTAGTTTAAAATGTGACAGTTTTCATCATCATTATCATCATCATCCAGAAATATGTTTAAAAATTTTTCCTTCTGTAAAGCTCTGTGCTAGGTAATGTGGTGATATAAAGGAACCAATATATCACCCCTGTCTGATAGGTAAGGATGTCCAAAGTATTAGATCCTGACTATATATAAATACTAAATATATGGTATATTTAGAAAGTAATGATACTAACATCTGACAGTCTAGGTTTAATTTTTAATTACTAGTTGTGATCTTGGGTAACTTATGCTCTATACATCTCAATTTCTTCATTTATAATAAGACTGTAATAATGTCACCTATTGTTGAAGATAGTGGTAGTTAACTACAAAAGCTCAGTTAATTTTTTATTCCTTACTAATAGTATTACCACTTTGGTCAGAATGGATGCTCAACTGAAAACGTATAAAGTCTCAATGTCCTTTATAGCTAGCTGTAGCATGTGACACACTTATGGCCAACTACATTTAAATGAAAGTAAGGGCTTCAGGAGTTTCTTAAAGCAGAAATGTTAGGGTTGGAGATATAGCTCATCGGCACAGTGCCTGCCTAGCAAGCACAAGGTCCTGAGTTCAATTCTGAGTACCAAAAAAAGTAGGAATATTTAGCCAACAGGATATTTCTTATTTTTTTGGTTTCCCCTTCTTGACTGGAATGTGATATAAGTGTAGATTTTACTTGGGATTATTTATTCAGCCATCTATAAGCTTTGTTCTTATGTTTGTCCACTTATTGGTAAGCTTAGGAATAGCTTTCCAGTGAAGGTAACATGAACTGGATTTAATGTCAGAGTAGAAATTAATGAGGTAGGCAAGATGTGTAAAGAATGTCCAGATTTGGGCTCTACTTATGCAAAGTTACAGAATTGTAAGAGATTTTGTCATAAGATAAAGCTGAAGAAGAAATATTATGAAGAACCTCATAGGTCTTTGCAAGCATTCTAGATTTCTCCTAGAGGGAAAGATGGTCTCTTAAAGAATTTTGACCTTAAAGTGACAGGAACAAATATGTAGTATATAAAAAAATAATTCTAGCAATTGTGTAGATGTTTACTTGGAGTGATTAAAGGAAGGAAAACAAGTGATATAGTTTTTGTGGTACTTTAGGCTAAATACTTTTTTATGAGCCTAAACTAAGATACTGACAATGGGGTGCTGAAACTCACTTTAAAAGAAATTTAGAAGTCGATTTGACAAAATTTATAATTTTACACAGGGTGGGTAAGGAAAGAAGTCACCCGGGTTAACATCTACAGATGGGAGATCGTTCTGAGTTAAAGATGAAGTTAATATTTGTGTTGTTGTTTGGAGATGCTTGTGAGACTCAGATGTCAAATTCCAACAGGTAATTGTGCTCAAAGGAGATGAGGAGTATTCACAGCAATTAGCAAATAAAAGTTGTACGAAGCTGTGACTGTGGGTAAGGTTACTGCATATCTGAGATGCGGTAAAAGTCCACCTCATATTCTCTGATCCCTCCTCTCCATTCACATGCAGTATCAGTTATCATCACTAACAAGTTTCTGTTTAAGCTCCTTAGCCGCTCTGCCTCCCTGACTGAGAGTTTTCCTCAGTGTCATATGAGCTTGATCAGGCACCACGCAGAGCAGCAGTTTTAATGCCCTCAGAGGACCACCACAGGAAGTGAGAGGCGGGAATCAGGGGACGCACAAGGACATTCCCTTCCCGACCTCTCAACTGAATAATTAAGAGACACAGGCTACACGACGATTTACCAGATTTCCAGAAGATTCAGCAGCAGTTCACCACGGTGACAATCCATTCATTAACAAATAGTTTCGAAAATACTTTGCCTTTAAGTAACTGACTTACAGTCTGCTCTGTTGGAATCAAAAATCAAGAAAAAAAGAGCAAGTAGAATTATAATAGGCATAACCTAATACAGACCTCTGGGAAAGCACTAACTTATAAGGCTACATAAAGGAAGAAAAGTCCAAGGGAGAGATGAGGAAACAGTAGTCAGAATAGTAAGAAAAAAGTGAGGAGAAAAATATGCCCAGAGGCGTATAAATAGAATAAGAATAAAAAACACTAGTTAGCTTGACCTTAGAGATGTCAAAATATGGTGGTTAGAATGATTGAAGTACAGTAATACGTTGGTTCATGAGTGCTTCTGTTCACATACAATTCCGTTCATAAACAACAATGCTCAGCAAAATTTTGCTTCCATTTGCAAACTCCAAATTGGGGGATGAACACGACAATGGCCACATTCCCTGCTCTACCTTGTGGTTATGTCTTCCGTTAGTCAAGACTGTGGCTGTGGATAGACCTGTGCACTTGCTACGAAGCTTTATTATGTGTGCTTTTTAGCGCATACAGAACTACACAGTACTATTCAACCAAGCATAGCTCCAAACAAAGTTCAGCGAAAACATGGCGGTAAAAACAAAAGTGCAGAGCGGTAATGAAGGGGATGGAATGTTTAGAGCACTAATGAAGGTAACAAGAAACTGCACAGCAAGACTGGTAAGAAGAAAGTTTTGAGGAAAATAACCATTAAACTGAAGAAGGAAATTGTAGAAAAGTATGAGCATGGTATTCATGACTGATAGGGCCTCAGGGTACAAAATGGTGAAGTTGACAATCTCGACTATTTTGCAGAATAAAGATGCCATGAAAGGAGTTGATGTAGCAAAGGAGTAATGATATTAACCAAGCAGAGGACACAAGTGCTGGAAGAGGTGGAAAAACAGTGTAGCTGAGCAAGAAACAGCTGGCAGATGATAGAGTTTGTGAAGCTATGATCTGTGAGAAAGCCAGGAAATTATGGTGATTTCCTGCAAGAAAACCTCTACACTTGCAACAAGTGCTGAGTGTCAAGCCAGTAGAGGATAGCTTGATGAATTCTGTAGGAGAAGTGACATCCACAGTGTGATGAGACACGGTGAGACTTCCCATCTGACAAGTCCACCACAGAGGCTTACAAGAAAGAATTAGTGGAATCCAGGAAAGCAGAAAGGTATGTCACTTCACAAGTGTTCAACCATGATGAAACAGAGCTGTTGTGGAAAAAGATGCCAAACAGAACCTGTATTATGCAGGACAACAAAGCTTTGCTGGGGCACAAGCCCATGAAAGACTGATTGAACCTTTTGCTGTGTGCAAACGCAAGTACCTATCTGAAGATTAAGCCAGTACTGGTGCACCATTCCCACAACCCTTATGCATTCAAGGAGCACAGTGTAAACAGGGCCAGGCTGCCTGTCGTGTGGGGGGCCAATGCCAAAGCTTGGCTCACAAGGCAACTGTTCAGGGAATGGCTGCATGCAGTGTTCATACCCACTATTAAAAAATATCTTTCTGATAACCAGCTACCTGACAAATGCCTTCTTCTGATGGACACTGCCGTGAGGAAACCTTACAGCCTTGGTGGATGATATGGACCCTGAGCATGACCTCATAAAGGGCAAGCCCCTCCCCCATCATGACACCTCTTCTATAGCTCATGGACCAGCAAGGGATCTGCAGCTTCAAAAAGCTGTACACAAAGGTGTTCTTCACCAGGTGCATTGATGTCACCAAAGCAGCATCCTTGATTCTAGAAGAGTTCAGGAAGAAACATTTCAATATCCTCCACTGCATCAACCTCACTGACAAAGCCTGGGAAGATGTTATATACTAGACCTTAAACACCGTCTGGAGATAACTAGTCAGAATGTGTCACTGAAGGTGATTTTCAAGGGTCTGAAGCACAGGAAGTGGAGGAGATTATGTCCATGAGCAAGAGTATGGGTCTAGAAGTCAATGGCACAGACATGGTTTAAAATCTATACAATGGGTCTTTTTTTTTTCAGTATTAAGAATTGAACCCAGTACCTTCACACTGAGCTACATTTATATCCCCCTTTTTAATTTTGAAATTGGAGGCAAGGTCTCTCCAGGTCACTAAATTGCTTGATCTGGGCTCCTTCTGTCTCAGCCTCTCTGATTGCTGGGATTAGAGGCCTAAGTCACCATACTCAGCTGACAGTGTATATTTCTGAAGGAATTTATGCAATACAAAAATCTGACTCCTCTAAATTTTGCTAGCTTTATTAACATTTCTTCTGGTATATATCTGATAAAATTTTTATCCTACTTAGAATAGTAGCTGGGTGATATTTAACACATAGAGGAAGATCATCAACTAAAATTAATCTTCTGTAAAACATCTTTTTTCTTTAAAGTTTTGCTCATGTCATTCCATGGGAAAATTAAGTTTCAGCTGCCAAAGGAGAATGATCAGGAACCTGGAAACCAGAGAAAATGTTATAAAGAGAGGATAATATTTGAGCTGATAACCCATTTGCTTATGTCTACCAGATGGCTATTTCATCTCCTGCCACACTGTGAAATAAATGATTGAAATAATGGGCTGGATTCATTCTATCAAGAAAGTTGTTATGATTTTATTTAAATTGCTTCCAGCAGTTTTCAACTAGATGAGAGGGTGGGTAAGTGAAAACATTTTCTTTATCCTCTTGCCCTGAGTATAGTTTTGAGTCTCAGCTGTGAGAGCTGGGGAGATACTGTTATGTGGGTGAGTGAGGAAGGGGTGTGAATCTGTTGTGTGAGGGTCCCTGGGAGTCACATGTGTCTTCCTCCCAGTGTAGGCCAATACAGACTCGCACTGACTTTGCGTTAGCTGCTCCTCAGCCTTTCAGTAACCTAGTGGCTGTCTACCTAGCACTGCTAGTCTTCCTTCTGCTTCTTTTAGGAAGGGCAACTCATTGTGATTAAATAAGACATTTTGTAGTGAAAAGGATACAATTTTAAATACCTTTAAAACATTTCAGAAAGCAATACAATTAGCTAAGCACTTATGTTTTATTAGTAATAGCAAGCAAAATTAATAAGTAAATTCAACTAAAAATGATTATGTGTCAAAGTGGATAGTTTTTACATTGACATTTCACATAATCTGACTTTGCTTAGAAGAGAAATCACTCGGCTGTTAAAATTACTTTTAAAGAGCTGTCAAAATTGGAAAACCTGCTGTCAAAAATATGATGAGAAAAGTTTAAAAATGGTAAAGTATGTTGACTTAGACAAAAAATATTATCTTCATGAAGGAAACTTGAATATTTATCATTGTCTTCAGACATGATGACTTTTTTTCTCCTGAAATTGGACATCCTTGGATTAAATTTATATACTGACACATGCATTTTTATTTTCCAAGCAACATGAATGAAATGATTTATGTTCATAGTACAATGATAATTTCTCTAATTGCTAGAAAATGCTTACATATTAATCGTCTACACTTGTTCTTACAAAATTTATTTTCACTTTAATTGAAGAATCTAATTAAAAAGAATTTTATCTCACACTCTCTTTTCAGATTTCCTGATTTCTTACATATTTACTCAACAAATACATTTTAACTGATGGAAGAATATATCTATGATTTCATTTATATTGCTGCTCTAGGTGTTGAACCCAGAGCCTCTTACAGGCTAGGCAAGCATCCCACCTCTGAGTCACATTCCCAGTCCTTCTCAGTTTCTTCTTTGGAACATGGTCTTGCTAAGACCCAGGCTGGTCTCGTGTTTGCAATGCTTTGCCTTAGCCTCCCTATTCACTGGAATTGCAGGAGTGTGCCACTATGCCCAGAAATTTATATATTTTTGTTGAGCTTATTTAAATAATGGAAAACTGTACCTATCCTATATCGCAATTCCAAAAAAGATAAATATTTTATAGCATTGAAATTAGGGACAGATAGATCAGTAAAATTAAAGCCTCTTTTAAACTTTCTATTTTACAGTGAGTTCTATCTGTCAATAACTAAAATCTTAAAATTTTCAATTTTTCTTTGAAATATAGAACCAATGGTATACTCTAGAATACATTTAGCATTCAGTTGTCAATTCTTAATCAAAATGCATGCGTTTATACCTAGGTGAATAAAATATGTAAATATGAAATAAAATACATGAGTTCCCCCTTCATTTTTCTTCATCTACTATAAATAATGTATTACTCTGAAGTTGATATTCTGAATATTGAAAGCCAATTTCTCATTGTGCATGACCTTGTGCTTACCTTTTTCTCCATATGTAAACTGCAAGTATTTGCAGTTATCATTCAAAATTGTGAGCATTAGAATACAAATGATAGTAGTATACTTTGCAAGTGCTAGTGTTTAAATGACCCTCTTTTATTTTCTAAAGAAGAAATAAAAAATAATGACACAGTTTAAATAGGGGAGAATATTTAAGATATAATTGTAGAAGCCAAGTGTGATAGTTCACACCATAATCTCAGCACTCTGGGAGGCTGAGGCAAGGAAATCTCAAGTTTGTGCCTTACTTGGTCAACCAACAGAGACTCTATCTTAAAATTAAAAAGTACAGCACTGTATTAAAATGAAGTAAATCAGTGTTAAGACCTTGGGTTCAATGCCCAGTGCAGAAAAAACAGGAAAAATAAAAAGTAAAAACTTTTACTGTCAAAAGAATAATGCAGTTGTCTATGTTGATCAAAACTATATTCTTATTTACTCTATTATTTTATTGTTTATTTGAAATAATTTAGAGGTGGCTATTAGATTTTCTAGTCTTTATATAACTTCATATTTTGACACCATTAGATTCAATCATCAAGACTTTTAAATTTGAATCTGACTTACCACATAATAAGTGTGTCCTAAAGCATACAAGCTTATTGTTCAAGCTAAAACAGTACAAACTTTGCTACCAATGAGATAAATATAATTCATAACACTGACATGAAATGCCAGTATAATTCTAGAAGATGCTGACTTAACAGAAAATTAAGTGAGAGACTTGCAAATCAAAATACACCTGAATCTGAATATATAAATCTGATTGTTCTTAGAACTGGGATGGTATGCCCTTTCTACACAAATACATGAGAACTGTGTATTTAGAACCCTATCCAGTAATTCAGAGTACTATGTATATGTATATTGGAGAAAAGTTTGTGTTGCTATGGGAACTTTGGCTTTTGTTTACATTATATAGCAAACTATTTTATGTGCCTTGGTTCACCTTAATGACTACCTTCATATATTGCTAATTATACTATTTTCCCTCATTTGCTCTGATGATTAACTCCTTAAGGTTAATATTGCTCATCTTTATTGAGTTAGTTCATATTTTTCTTGAATACAGAAATATGAACTTATATTTACCTTCATTTATGAAAATTGCATTATGCATGCCACTGTCACCTGTTCATTACATTAAGTAAAGGTGTTCTGCTTTTATGAGATTTGCAAAATTATATTTATGAAAATTATAAGTTTGACCTTGTTTGCCTATAGGAACATCATATTCCAAATTGTAAAAAATAAAATTTGTGAACATGTTTTTCATTTTGGACATAAAAATGTATAATTTCCTCATTCAAAATTTCCTGTAGCATTTTCAAAGAGGAAATCTAAGAAATCTAAGCTCTTAAGAAAAGAAATTCTTCATGCTTTCAATATATAAGTGAAGACATGCTAAAATATTGTGTATGCCAATTCTTCTGAGTTGATAGGATTTTATAGAACCAAGTAGTAAAAATGAATTTATTATATTTTAAATATTAGGATTTTTAGGGTGCTGAAATTATTATGCATGATAATAAAGTGATAAATCCATAGAACTGTGTATTAATAAACATCCAAAGAGCTCTATAGCACAAAGAGTCAACTTTAATGTATGCAAATAAAAACATCATTTGAAAGATTGGGAGTTCTCAGAATAGAATGCATACCGTGGCAAAGGAATTTAACTGTGTATTAGATACTAAATAAGCTTACTGAAAAGACAGAGGAAGAAAGGTCTGGTCTTGGGAAGTTGGGAAATGTAGAGTTTATGGGACCAAAAGCAATTCTACATAAACAGTACTTTAGTTAAGACTTGTTTCCCATGGTACAGGTTAGCAATTCACAGTCAGTACACCAGTGGTGAGCATTTCAGTAAGTGGGTGGTGATTACCTAAGGTCAAGTTTCTCATTGTTAGAAGAGATAGACAAGGGGATATAGCTCAGCAGCATAAGCACCTGCCTGGCAAGCATAAGGTCCTGAGTTCGATTCCCAGTGCCAACAACAAAAACAATAGAAGTGATAGACAAAGGAGAGACTACAACGATAATCCATTTGGTGAGACAATTGGAGACATGCACATAAACTCATTTCTAGTGTAAGATAGATCAAAATGGACACATATAGAACTATCTCTATATAAATACATATACAAGGATTAATATACATTCATATTTCCTTACTATGTTAGCTGACAGACTCCAGAATTAAAGATATTCATTAGCAGCCAGCACACTCCTAGCACTCAGATAACACTTTGAAGGAATTTGAAAATTTTCTGTACACACTTTACAACTTTTCAGGAAATTTAAAACATTTTTAAAGAAAAATAATTATTTAGACAAACATGAAATTTTCTGCTGGATGCCATTCCTGCGTTCTCTGCTGTCAGACTGACTTGGGCCCTCTTTTCAGTGAACCTCTAGTTCTGCAGCCCTGCAGAAGGAATCTGAAAAGAGCTTAAGATCAAGTCACTTGCCTCAGATTTTCTTTCTAGAGATCCTGTGCTATGTATTCCTTTTGTCTTCCTGGGTCTTTCCCCTCAAATCCTTTGTAACTTCTCACTGCCTGTTACTGACTTGTCTTTGAACATTTACCATGATGTGCCTGTACAGCTCTGATAATGACTCCTTGAAGACACTGAATGCACCACATGGTTATTTAAGTAGATGTGTGTGTGTTGCCAATGTTTCATTTACATAAAATCTCTATCCTACCTTTCTTCACAAATCCCATCTCTAACAAAAATATTTTTCTCTGATTTTCATCATCTCAAACTCAGTAAGGAGACCTGTAGCCTTGTTTTGATGAAAATCCTAATATATAATAATGTATTAAATCCTTTGCATGAAAGAAGGAATTCGGTGTAAGTACCCTACATTTAGAGTATTGTTTCATTTCTAATAATGTTTTCGCTTTCATCATGCTATTATAATTATCACAGTATTATTTGCAGCATTGTTATATTAGTTGACAAACTTATAAATGATGCAGCATACCTGTATGTTTTTAGTGTTAAATTTTGAAATAATTTGAAACTTATACAGAAATAGCAAGAATAGTACAAAAAGAGAAAAGAAAGAAGGATAAAATTATGTATGTATATATATACAGGAGAGCTAACATAGCTGTACTACTGACTTCTACGCTTTATTAAAAGGATTAGTTAACGATTAATTATTTTGATCAGTCTTGCATATCTATATTTGTTTTCCTGAGTAACCACTTTGAAGATATCAATATGTAATACAACAACCATTGTTAGTTCCCTGTCACCTTATTTGTAATTCAGTATTGCTTGTACTATTTTTG